ACATAGAGAAACCCTGTCTCGGAAAAAAAAAAAGAGTGAAAATTATCTTTAAAAATAGGTATGGCCGGGCGGTGGTGGCACACGCCTTTAATCCCAGCACTCAGGAGGCAGATTCGAGGCCAGCCTGGTCTACAGAGTGAGTTCCAGGACAGGCGCAAAGCCACACAGAGAAACCCTGTCTCGAAAAAACAAAAACAAAAAACAAACCAAAAAAAAAAAAATAGGTATGAAGGTATGAAGTCTCTACGAAGTCTGAGGGGAACTGGAAGAATGCAGGAGAAAGTTGATGCAGCATCCATCTGCTGTACACAGTCTCCCCTTCAGCTCCCTGCAAGGTGGACTCATAGCAGGTTAGATTAGTCTTCGTAGCATATATGGTGAGAGCTCCTCCCAAAATAAATGAGGACTCCACTTGGTGGAACTGCCCACCTGGCCATCCAACTCAATTCACACTATGCCCTTGGATTTCCTATACCTTGGCCTTGGGCACCCTTTTTAAATGCACAACTTAAGTTCCCAGAGAGACTGTCAAATTCCAGAAGAGGCGAAACCTGCTTTCACTCTCTACAAACACGGAGAGAGCCTGCGACATATGGGAGGAGGTGTCCGTGCAGAAACAAAAGGACATTACCTGTGAGATTCAAGTGAGGAATTTGATTTTCTTTGAATGGGCCCTGCCACCTGGCACTAGGGTCAGAATGGGAAGGTCTCCCTCTGGATCCTACAACACTGGGGTTCCAGAAAAGAGGCAAACGCTCTCAGGATCCATCTCTCTGTTAATGACTTCTACTAGCCCTGACGCTGGCTTTGGCAGAACCTTCCAGGGAGTCATTCTTTGACATCCAGAGAACCAAACTATCAGTTTGAACCTATGACCTATATCACCTGCAGAGGTGTTGAAGTGGCTTTTAACTAGATAGAGCCCGACTCACACGCATCCTCAGACAAAGAAGTACAGTATTGATGATGATGATAACAATGATGATGTAGATGATGACCGGAAGGAAATAGAAAATATAAACAAAGCAACAGCTCTTGAAGTTGGACTTCTTGCTTATGCTGTCCCATCCCCAGTGCCCAGCTGAGCCTCGCTGCTGGCTTGGAGCCACAGCAGTAGTGTGATGCCAGTTTCTCTCCGGGTGCTACACTCCCTGACGTGTGCCATCCCGCCTAATCTACTTTAGCTGTATCGAAATGAAAAATGAATAGGAAGTAGCTCTTGCTGCTAAAACATATGTGTCAGAAAATCATTATGAGTATTAAATTACAGCAATAAAATGAACCAGAACTAATCTTGCAAATTAAGATCCAATAAATTCTTTTTCATGGACACACCTTTTCTTTTTGGGAAAAAAAATGCAAAATAAGATTGAGTCCAGCCATATGAGCACTTTTGGCCGGTGGAATTGGGAAGACGTAGGAAACCAGAAACCTCCACATGGCAGGGGTAGAGGCCCAACAGTGGATGGTCACTGCTCCTGTGCCAAACGCTATAATCATCAGGTTTTACATCGGTGGACCTATGTATTTTCCAAGTACAATTTATGTGTACACACTCCCTTCCCTCTCCTTGGTACATCCCCCTTTCCCACCCTTCCCCCTAACCTAGGTTCTACTGACATAAGAAACTAGTAAATTTCTGATAAACTCTTATTGTGGAAGAGAGGACACTGTCGTTCAAATTAAGTCTGAAGCTATACACAACCCTTTGGAGAGCTGCCCTGCTCACTGGAATAACAGGATAACCACCCCCCACCGCCCCCACCCCCGCAACCCTGCGGGAGAAAAGAGTCTGTAATTAGTTCATTGTCCATGAATAGGCACAAAGGAGGCAAAGCCCTGGACTGGGCTCCCTTTCAAAAGAGGATCTTGGGGCAGATGTTAATTAAGTGAGTAACTTGTACCATCTCCTGGAAACGCTGAGGAGCATTGCTCCCCTTCCAAAGGGGAACACTGAGGAAGGGGTATACCCTGACCACGGACATCCAGAAAGAGTCTCCAAGAAAAAGAAGAAGAAAAAAAAACCACGATGCATCTCCCTGCTGTCAGCCCTCGCGCCGCTGGCACCAGCAGAACATTCCAGAGCTGTTCTTCGACACTCACCAAACCAAACTATTTATAGCCACGCAATCATTATAAATAAATCTGTTTATACCGTGGAGCCTTGGCCCTGCATGAGTTAAAACTCTCGGCTGGCAGCTATAAATAGCTGTTACATGCTCCAGTGTGACGACTGACGGATACGTCCTCAAATTGTGACAAATAATGACAAGTTTGTTTGACAAACACTCCGCTGACATTCATCTGATTTTGAATAAGTGGTGCTGCTTTCTTAATTTGGTCCCTGAGGCCCGGGATCTGGGAGACTTCCTTTCTTCTCTCTCCCTCCCTCGCCTCCCGCACAGCAACTGTCCTGCAGTCCATCCTTGTTTTCTCCCCTAATCAACTGGAAGGGATTGAGGCCATTTAAGGGGAAGCTTATTAAATCCACTGCTTCTCTCTCGGGACAGTTCTGCTGTAGGGCTCTGCAAGGGTCTGGGGAGTTTTGTTAATGACAGGAGAGCCAGAGGAAGAGAGAGGGGAATGAAGACCAGGCCGGGGTGTTGGGCAATACAAGATACAACAGGAAGAAGTGGAATTGAACCCAAAAAGTTGGGATCTCAGCCTTCAAGGAGGATCTGGGACATAGATGTTCTAGAAGCCACTGAGAAGGAAACAGTGAAAAGCAGGTATGTGGGCAGAGGGACTCACAGCCTGATGCTCCTGCTGTGTTGGATAAGACAAGGTTGAGGTCTCCAGAGCCCAGGGTCCTTTCTCTAGGTCAGCCGGTAATAACTTGCATCCTGAGTTACACAGGGCCTGAAAATACACACAGGCTTTGTCACCTGTCTAATGTAACAAGGTCTTTATGCTGGAAGACTAGGGTGAAAGCCTGTGACAGAACTAAACTTCCACATCCCTGTTCAGGGTTCCATGCTCATCAAGAGCATCAGGTGACTTATTTCCTGTAAAGCTCTTGGAAACACAGCTGCCTATGGCCAGCACTCTGTAAGTGCTGGCAAGCGTGGGAGCAGCATGTACCATCTCCAGTTCTCTACTGCTGTGTCACTGTTGACTCTGCAAGGGGCACTGTCCCTCAGTGCCCTTAATGGGCATGCCTTGTCTGTCTGGACTAACTCTGTTTATAGCATATCATCTTCCCCTGCATGTCGTGTGTGTGTGTGTGTGTGTGTGTGTGTGTGTGTGTGTGTGTGTGTGTGTGTGTGTGTACACGCATGCGCGCGCCCCAGGGACTTGCCTGTCTCTCCCTTCCCCAGTGCTGGGATTACAGGTGCACTCTGTCACACCCAGCTATTTTAATGTGGGTGCTGGGGATTAGAGGCAGATCTCCATGCTTACAAGACACATACTTCCCTAACTAAGCTATCACCCGAGCCTGCCCTTTTCTGATCTGTCCTACGTGAAGCTGTCGCCATCTTTTGAACATTCAGCTCTAACCACAAAGCTACTGTCTTTGCTTACCTCCTTCCCAGCCTGCTTGAGTCCTTTTGGTGTTACTATAACAAAACATCCGAAGCCGAGGGATGCATAAGTAAAGAGGTTTACTTTTCTCATAGCTTTGGGGGTTAGAAGTCCAAGATCCTGGGGTGAAGCCCCTGGCTACAGTAAGCATGGAGGTGGTGGTTAGTGCAATGGTGGGGATGTTTGTAAGACAGAATATGGCAAAACAGCAGGCAAGAGGGTTCCTGTGGGGCTCATCGTGTCTGTAGCCACCCACTCTTGTGGGAAGCAACTGAGGCCCTAGCAGAGCTACATTAGCCTCTTCCTAGGGTAGTGTCCCAGTGAACAAGTTATCTCCCCCTAGGCCCTATCTCTTAAAAGTCCTCCATAACAACCCTGTTACACTGAGGGCCACGACTCTATCACACAAAACTTTGGGGGACACCCTCAAACCATATCCAAGACACGGTAGCATCCTACAAGGGCAGGGCAGACACCGGAGTCCTCTTCAGTTGTGGGTCCTAGTTCTGTCTTTTACCTCATTATCTTAACTCTGCTTCTCCGGTCCTGAAGTAACTCCCATATCCCATTGGTCCCTGTCTGCCTAAATTCCTGCAGACTCAATGCCCTGGCCAGCCATGTCTTAAATGAGCCGCTCTAGCCACTAATACAGCACAACTCTATGCTCTGCATCACAGTGGGTTCCTCACTCATCCCAGAGCTCATGCCCTCAAATGACCTGGTCCCCTTCCGGGCCCTGACTCACTTTCTGGACTCCTTGTGAATGCCTGTGAAAGCCACAGCTTCCACAAAGCTGGCCAGGCAGCTGCCTGCATCTTCCCTGGATCCCTGCCCCCTTATCCCTGGCTCCCTCTTAGTACCAGCCTGTCTTAATCCTGCCTTGCAGTGATCTGTGAATTTGCTTATGTTAATCCTCTTTCCCAGTGGTCAGGAGTGTGCTCCCTTAACCACTTTGGTACCATCTAGCCTGGTGTCTACTGAGAACAGGGTAATTATGAAACAATTTCCTAAAAACACAAGGAAACAAACAAACAAAAAACAAAAAATAAAACAAAACAACAACAGCAACAAAATCCAGGGCTGAAGAGACGGCTCAGCTGCCAAGCACTTTCTACTCTGGCAGAGGACCCAGGTTTTGTTCCCAGCACCCACATGGCAGCTCACGGGGGTGTATAAACTCTAGTTCCAGGAGATCTGTCCCTAGGGTGTCTGAGGTCCCTTCCATGAGCTCAAGACAGAACCCAGAACAGGGCACATCAGAGCCCATGGAGGAGAAGCAGATGTGAAGTGCTGACTGGCGAACCACCAGAGTGCAAACCCACAAATTAAAAACTCCTTAAAGAGCCAAATCCTCGCTTAAAAGTTAGGGGGGGGGGGGAGGGCTTCGGGTCCCTTTGTGCATTTCCGTATTAGCACAGTCACACTTGGCCATGCAGATGTCAGTTCCAATAAACACCAGGGCTTTCCAGGGCCCGGCCTCTAATTGAAGGGATTGTTACTGTTGGTGAATGGCTGGGGAATTAATTAGTGGAGGGCAAACCAGTTCATAAATGCCTGCTTTGTAAGGGGTCCTCGCGTTCTGGGTACCTCGACTCCTGTGGCCAGCTCTGCCCCAGGAACCCGTGCCAGCAAATAGTATTTATTATCCGTGTCGGCTTCACCTGGAGATGGGCTTCCCTGCCTTCCGCCGCACAGCCAGGTTTGTTTCTTTCGGGCGCAGCAGGCATTATGGGAAAAACTCCCCCGGATCTTCTGGATCCTGCTCCCACCGCCTGACTTAGTTTATGAAGAAAAGCTTCATTTTCAAGCCAGAGATGGAGACAGGAGTGCAAGCTTCACACAGCCCACGCCGCCGTTCCCAGTTTGTATGCAGGTTCAAACACGTGCTCACGTGTGCACCGCAGCAACACCATGTGCATACACACAGCTGTTCAGATCTTTCTCAAGCAGTGTGCAACCAACTCCAAACCCAGTTCTATGTGGAAAGTCGACACTTCAGGTAAGCTGTATACTAAGACTATAAGATGATGGGGGAGGGGCGAGTCTCCCAAGCCCCCTCCCTCATGTAAACTACTCAGGGCTCAGAATGAACACAGCAACCCGAATTGAGCTGATGGAGCTGGTATTTGCCTTCTACCCAGGGTAGACTGCCATGGATGCCATCTTGAAACCTCTCCTTAAAGCTGCGGGATGTGAAGGACTCTTGATGCTGTTAAAGGTGGTAGAATTGAAGATGGGTTTTTAGAATTGAAGTTGTTTTTTGTTGTGTTTTTTTCTTTGCATGGTCTATGTTGAGGTGTATACATGTTCATGTTCTATAGTAAAATATGGTTTATAGTTCCCTAACCCACTCCCATGGGTGAAGTTTAAAAAAAAACAAAACACTTATTTGTAGTTTCATAAAAATTCTTCTAGATCAACCCTCCTAATGCTGCAATCCTTTAATACAATTCCTTATGCTGTGGTCACCCCCCAACCATAAAATTACTTTCGTTGCTCCTTCATAACTGTAATTTTTCTGCTGTAATGTACATATTTTTGCAGATAGTGGTTTACCCAAGGGGTCGCGACCCATGGGTTGAGAACTACTCTAGATTCTGGGTGTAGCTCTGGCAGTTTTGTCTAACCTTTGCAAGTACTCTAGTCTTGAAAATGATCCTGAGTCACAGAGGTGTCTGTGGCAGTCCCTGAACTGAGATCTTGTTCTACTAGCTTCTGGTTGACCTTGGACGCGGAGAAGTAAAGAATGGATTTATTCCTGGGATTTATTCCTCCCTCTTCTGTGGCCTTCTCCCTTCTCCCAGACAGGACTATTCTCCTGACTCTTACCACTCTCTGCTCTGCTTTGGGTTAGGGTCTGGTATCAGTTATTTGCACTGTAAAATGAATTAACTCAGTCATCCTTAACTCCAATGTTAGAAGTTACTATTTACGTTTTCATTCAGCTATATTCAGTCATATAATGAACGGTATAGGCATCTCTGAAGTCAGCCATCTGGGCTCCTTCATCTGTGTGAAAGGCAAGCTCTGGGACCAGTCGCATAGCTCTGGGATAAATATCACCACGTTAGCTGTAACATATCACCATTTATTACCCCTGTCCCCTCACAAAGAAACCCCTCTCCAGGGATACTGCTAAGAGAATGATTATAAATAATGTGCCGTCAGCAAAAACACACAGGCCTGGGGTTTGGAAAGTAAGACTCTTTATACCTACATATAAAATTGTACTTTCTCTACATGGATGTTGAGTGACAGTGAAATAAGAATATATCGTGATTTGTGGTGCCAGATTTTGGAAAGAGATGATGGAATTTGGAAGGAGAGGGGAATCTTTGAAGGTCACTCACTGATCAATGAACTCGTACTTGAACCAGGAAAAGGGTGGGATGGTGTCAGGCTCCTCATCAGGCTTCTCTTATTTCAACTCATGAATTTCCAAGCCATCTAATGCAAGTGCAGGAAAAATGGCTGTCCCTCGCTAGTGGAAATGGTGGGCCAAGCTGCGTGTGCTGGTGCACTCCTGGAAGCCCAGCACTCAGGAGGTGCAGACAGGAGGATTAAGAGTTCAAGCCCATCTTTGATGACAAAGCATGTTCAAGGCCAGCCTGGGTTACATGAGACTCTGTCTCAAAAGGGGAAAAGAAAATAAAAGAAATGGAAAGAAAAAAAAAGAAGCCTGAGACCAGTCCTCCCGGTATGCTCTCCCCTGGGGAATTCTTGGCAGATAGGCTCAGCAGCGAGGCTGAATGAGAAAACAGCGTGCTCTGACTGTATGAGCCTCCTCTGTGTATCAGAATGCGCTCTCAGAGAGCAGAGCAATACGGAGAGAAACTTCGAAAGGGCAATTGCCTGTCACTGTTGTCTTTCCACCATTCTGACCCAGTGCAGTTAAGTCCTGTCCCCACACACTGCCCAGGACCCAGAGAGGGTCACGTCCTCCGAGGTCCCACAAGAACCCTCTGATGGTGATCTTCCAGGTGGATGGAATATCCCAAATAATCCCAAAGCAGAAGGATGAAGTAATGGGGGTCTTCTGTCACAAGGCGATAAACAACTCAAATCACTCATGTTTGTGGTAGACCTGGGGTCCCCTCTGCCATATCTCAAACCCCTATGCCCAGGCTTTGTGTCTACAGTTCTCCCAGCATCGCCCTACCTCCTGTCACGTGACATTAGTGGAGAGCCTGGCCATGGCCAGCCTGTTTAAGGCTCTCTAGCTCTCATTTAGAGATTTGCATTCAGCCATGATTCAGTGAGTGGTTCTCATGTACCAGGCTCTAAGCCTGGCTTTCATTATGCAAAGAAAAGAGACCTTTCCTACTCCTGACAAGCTGATGAAAGAGAGAAGTGGGGAGGGAGAGAAGGAGGGAGGGAGGAGGGAGGGAGGAAGGAAGGAAGGAAGGAAGGAAGGAAGGAAGGAAGGAAGGAAGGTAGGTAGCCTAGGCGTATAGCAAGATACCACCTCCAAAACCAACCAAACAAAAGTACATAAAGAAAAAGAAGGGAAGGAGGGAGGGAGGGAGGGAGGGAGGGAGGGAGGCCAGAATGACCTTTATCTGAGTTAGTTTACATGCAGATCACAGGGAAGAGCCATGCCTCCTTCAGCAGTAAGAGTGGAAGAAAGGGCAAAGCACCCAAATGTCTTGTGCCCCAGCCACATCCCAGGGCCAGATGTGTCTGTCACAGAACTGTGCACATGAGGCTTTGGGAACCATGTTTGTGGGGTGTGAGGCATGACCCACCATTCTACCTGTGCCCCACCTTAGCTGAATCACGTCACAGATGTCGCTTCACTTCTCGGTCCTCTGTCAGATCACTTTCAAGGTCTAAGACTGCATCTACCTTCTGCTTATGTGATGGGTCAGATTTCACCTGTGGTAAGTTCTCTGCTCTCAGACAACCCCCTTCCCCGGCACCCAGAGCTGATGTGAAATGATTCTGCCATACTCCCTCCTAAACCGACAGCAATCAAGATAACAGTGTAGCACCTGACGGGACACACGTGTCCTGGCTAGTGTTTTGTCAACTTGACAAAGCGAGAGTCGTCTGATAAGACCTCAGTGGAGAAAATACCTCCATCACGATGGCCTGTAGGCAAGTCTGCAGGACATTTTCTTGATTAATAATTGATGTAGAAGGGCCTGGTCCACTGGTCAGTGCTGTCCCTGGACAGGTGGATCTGGGTGGTATAAGAAAGCAGGCTGAGCAAGCCATGGAGAAGAAGCCAGGAAGCAACATTTCTCCATGGGCTCCACTTCAGTTCCTGCCTCCGGGTTCCTGCATTGCTTGACTTCCTTCCTACCTTGGTATCCCTTGATGATGGGCTGTGATCCATGATGAAGGCATGGCGGCAGGTGGCTCCATGTGGCAGGCATGTGCAGCTGGGACTTTTCGCCTCACAGCCTGACAGAACAGACAAGCCAGACCTTAAACTAAGGCCTGTCCTCAATGACCCACTTCCTCTGAGGAGACACCAACTCCTGAAGGTTCCACAACCTTGCAAAACAGAACCAAGAGCTGGGGACCAGATGTTCAAAGACAGGAGCCTATGAGGAACATTTTACATTCAAACCCAAACACCTCCTGACCCCAAATACAATAATATGTGATACAATACAATGTAGTACAAGTAGGTAGAATAAGAAAAGGGCTACATATTGTAAGCATAGTTGTAGCATGGCCCATGCAGACATTCAGTAAATGGGTGACGGGGGGGGGGGGCGCGGGGGGGGGGGGGGACAGGGATTGGAGAGATAGATGGCTGCTGTCTGTAATAGCCACACAAGGAAGAAGACTGAATCAAATCCTCCGGAAACCACACAAAAAGCTAGGTATGTCAATACATCCCTGTAATCCTGCCCTGGAGAACAGAGACAGGGATCCTTGGGTCTCACTGACCAGCCAGGATAACTGAATCTCTGAGTCCTGGTTCATAATCTTAAGGTACTGAGGGATTAAGCAGGACACCCAGTGTTGACCTCTGGCCTCCACATGCACTTAAGCATGCGTGAATATGTCCACACACACACAGAGAATGAATGAATGTAAGAATCACTAGGCATAGTAATACACACCTGCAGTCAAAGTGCCTGGGAAGAGGCAGGATCATGAGTTCCAGCCCTGCCTAAACTGTATATTGAGACTTTCTCAGGAAGAAAAAAAAAAAAGGATGGATGGATGGGAGCTATAAAAGGATTTTAAGCTACATAAATACCTTCCGTTTCATTCAGCCAGCTGTCAGTGTGATGATTAAATTAAAATTCGCTTAGTTCCCTCCACCCTCTTTAAGTATGAAGTTAAAGTAGGTAAGACCATAGCCTCTCTCCCTTTCTTTCCTGCCTTTGGCTGCAGGGACACCTAGCCGGTCCTGGTGACCCAGTGAGGACGGCTTTTGGTCACCTGCCCCTCAGGCTGGCATGACCTTTGGAGGGCTCATCATGTCCTGCTCATCAGCAAATCTACCTTCTTTCTTTGTGCCTGATAACCATCATCCTGTTTCCTTTTTTTACTAAAAGAGATGAGAGGCACAAGTGGCCTCCAAACTTCCTATCTGAAATTTAAAAAAAAAAAAATTCCTTTGCAAGAACAGACAAAAATTATGGCACTTGCATCTTTTTGGAAAAGAGAGTACCAGCCTTCTGGTAAAGGGTACAAAAGACAAGACAGAGAAGTTCCACCATGATAGCAGGAAGTCAGGCTGGGTAACAGCGAACTCTGCTTCTGTGTGGCTTGGAGTCACATGTGCCCTGCTGTGACAGGAGCCAGTGTCCTTCTGGTATGAGTGTCTCAGCACAGCCAGGCTACTGTGCAGGTCATGTCCACCCTAATAGTACTGATCTCTTCCTCCCTATGAACAAGCATTCGGATGCAATGCAGTTGCTTTGGCAGGCTGCTGTGTCCTTCTTGCACCCCTCACTGTGGTGACCTATCATCCATGTATGGGCTGAGTTCCCATGAGACAGAGGGACCTCAGGCTGGGGTAGCAAACACAGGACATTCCGAAGCAGCTGGGCTAATCTGCTCGGTGACCATTCCTGGCTTGGGAAGAGAAAGCCTTTTTCTTTTGACCCTTGGAAATTACAAATGATGGGTTCTCAAAGGCCTATCTCATGAGAGGACAGTCCTCTGTGTACCTATTCCCTCTCCAAAGTGTTCTTCTCTCTCCAAGTGCAAAGCTTGGAGTATCTACTGGTCTACTCATATGCATACTGCAGCATATGTTGCAGATCCAAAATACACAACTATGGAGGACTGTAAGTGTTCACTACTATGACACTGTAGCCCAAGATCCATCCCATTTCAACAATACAGTCCATGTCCCCTGAATGTGCTCTGCCAACAGAGTTTCTTCAGCTAGCCTCTCAGATGTCAGGAGCCAAGTTCTGTAGTTGGTGTCCATGGATATGTTTGATTGATTTAGAGTCTCTATATAGCCTTAGCTGGCCCAGAACTCACTATGTAGACCAGGCTGGCCTCAAACTCACAGAGACCCACCTGCCTCTGTCTCTGGAGTTCTGGGATTAAAGACGTGCGCCACCATGCCAGGCTTTCATGGATTTCTACAAAGCAAGTTACGTTCTATGTTCATCTCCTATGGCTGCTGTAACTCATTAATATAAACTTGGAGATTTAAAAAGGTAAAAATTTGGATTCTTTGAGCTCTGGTGTCCTCAGGTCTGATGTGTAGGTGTGGGTAGGGCCACATTCCCTCGGGAGGCTCTAGGGGAGAGTCCTTCATTGTCTTGCCTGAGATCAGGTAGCTCCTGGCATTCCTCAGCTTGTGTCTGCATCGCTCTAACCCGGTGGTTCTCAACCTGTAGGTCGCAACCCCTTTGAAGGTCAAATGACCTTTTCATAGGGGTTGCTTAAGACCACTGGAAAACACAGATATTTACATTACGATTCATAATAGTAGCAAAATTACAGTTATGAAGTAGTAATGAAAATAATTTTGTGGTTGGGGGTCACCACAACACAAGGAATTGTATTAAAGGCTCGCAGCATTAGGAAGGTTGAGAACTTCTGGTCTACCTCAATCTTTTCTTCTCTATGTGCTCACTTATTCTGTATCTTTAGGGACATTTGTTGTTGAATTTAGGACCGAGATAGTCCAAATCTTGTACTGTGAAATCTTTAAATTGAATACCTCTGCCAGATTTCTTTTCCTGCATAAGATTACATGTTCAGAAATTTGGGGAGTTCTGATGTAGATACTGCTCCTGGGAAGTCATCATTCAACATACCACATTCTCTTCTAATGCTGTAGCTCATCCCTAAGTCAGGGTTGGATCAATGTATTGTAGAGATATTAACTGCTATATTACACAGTCTTCTGTCACTGTGACAAAATACCCAATCAACTTATAAAGATGAAAGGTTTATTTTAGCCCACAGTTTCAGAGGTTTCAGCAATGGTCAGTTGATTCTGTTGCTTTGGGGCTTGTGGCAGCATAGTATATCATGGTAGGAATACATGTTGGAGGAAGCTGCTCACTTCTTGGCAGCCAGGAAGCATAGGAGGCAGTTTCTGAGGTCCCACATCTCCTTTAAGAGCCCCACTGGCCTCACTTCTTCCTTCTCACAGGTTCCTCTGCCACCACATAACAGCACAGGCTGGTGCCCAAGCCTTTGACACAGGGCCTTTGGAGGACACAAATTCAAACAACCCATTCACCCACTGTGTGTTGAGTGTTGTTTGTGGATATAGACATTAGTTTGGTATCGATCATATGAAATGAAGGAGGAAGCATAATTCTTGCTCTCCAGAAGTTCTTAGTCAAGTGAGTCAAAGACTACAACATCTAAATCATCAATTATACACCGTGATTGATGCTATGAAAATCTGCAAAGGCCTGTCACTCAAGCATCCTACAGCCCACATGCCAGTTCCAATCCGTGTCATCTTTTTGTTCGTGTGTCACCGCATTGGCTTAACCAGAAGATGGATGCTGATGGGGGAAGAGATGTGGCACTGGGATGAAAGAGTGTTCTTCCCTAGAGAAGTTTCTGCCGAGCATGAACATGTCTGCCTGAATATTGAAAACGAGGAGAGACATTTAGTGCACACCCCGCGCCGGGGGTGTGATGCATTTGACTCCAAGCAGAGAGCATCTCAGAGTCAGAAACTGCTTGCTCCCCCATGGGCAGAAGTGATGCCTTCCAGAAAAGCCGTCTCCAAATTTGTGCACAAATCAACAGCTTGGATGGAGGCCAAGAAGCAAGCTCACTCCTTCACTGCCGAGTTATTTAAGCATTTAATGCTTCAGGCATGAGAGGCTGTGCGTGAGCTGCCCTGTGAACGCTGTGTTGAGTACACTGGGTAGGAAATGACCTGGCTCACACACACAGAAAGCAAGCCGAGTCGTTCCTTTGGATCGTGGACCTTTGGGCTAAGACTAGACCCTAGGTTTCCTAAGCAGGTGAGTGTGTGGTGGTTTGAATGAGAAATGTCTCCCCACAGGCTCTTGTAGCAGAATGCCTGGTCCCAGTGAGTGGTGCTGTTTGGGAAAGTTACAGAACTTTTAGGCAGGGCAGTCTTGGTGGAGAAAGTATATCCCTGGGGATGGGTTTTCAGGGTTTAAAGCCTCACCTTGCTCCCTCTCTTCTTCCCCTCTCCCTCCCTCCTTCCCCACCCCCCACCCCTGCTTCCTCTGTACAACTGAAATGTGTTCAGCCAGCCTTCTGCCCGCCCCCTCCCCCACCCCGCCATCTTCCTCACCAGTATGGACTCTTCCCCTCTAGAGCCATAAGCTGAAACAAACCTTCCCTTCTGTTGCTTGTCATAACGGAAAAGTAGCTAATACAGGATCTGAAGTCGTTTAGACCTTACTCAGGCTGCTGAGATGCCAGGAAGAGAAATTAAACGATACCTTATCAAATGATTCTAGAAGTTTCTATCTTGCAGCAGAAGTTCTGTAGCTTCAGTCTTCCATATTTTAGGGGGAAACCAAATTGTGGATAATGTTTGCTCTTGAAGATTGGTGCACAGGTATAGAAGGAGACAGGCTCATGGTCAGTGTGCAAGTGATCTAGAATATTGTGACTCAAAATAAAACCATTTTGTTTTGTAGAGAGACTCCTAGATTCTCTTCCTTAAAGGGCACCTTCAATGTTACAGCAAAATGACTTTTCTAGTGAATTGTTTTCATAGTTGAAATTTAATGGACTTCATGGATAAGTTATTCTAAACCAATCTTTGTCTTAAGAGCCCTATCATTGTCTTAAAAAAAAATAGCCCTGGAAGAGAGTTTTAAGGAAACTGTTAAGTACCTACCAATAATCACCAAATTTCAAAGACAGTTTCTAGAAAGCCATGCTTTGGTAGAAGCTTCTGGAAATTAACTCTTGCCTGAGAGAAGTGGCTGCTGGGAAACATGATGGTGCAGATCCTATCATTTGCTTCCAGAGTCACGTATGTTGACTTCTAAGTGGAGATGTCAGTGTAGAATCTCAACCATATTTAAATCAGTATAGGATGACAAATACCTGCAGGAACCTGACCCTACAGCTGAAGGATGTTACCAGGGCAATGGGGAATTGACCTGGGTTTCCAGGTCCTCTGAGCATGTCCTTCAGCACAGAGGGATGACTTCTGTTCACCTTATATAGCTCTCAAAGAACTATTAGAGCCAGCCAGACACTGGCTTACATAAGTAAGCATGCCTACCACAAAAATCAGTCCCAATTCACTTTTCCTTCCTCATTCAGTCTCCCAGAAACAAACAAACAAACAACAAACACAAAACAGTCATGGAGAATAGACAAATGCAGGTGGATAACTTTGCCCAAACAGGGCCTCTGGGAAGATGGTGGCATGGTAGACTGTTTACATAGAGAATCTCCTCTTTCTTTTTCCAGACCTTAGGAGGCCATTCTGCTTTTGCAATAAACATCATTTGAGAGCCTACTATGTGCCAAGCATAGATGAAGAAAAGTTAACAAGTCAGCATACAGTCTGCCCTCCAACCCCAAGGATTCTAAAGCAACAGATTCAAAAAAATCCTGTATCAAAAATAATTGAAATCTGGCTCAGTGGGTAAAGGTGCTTGCTGCTAAGACTGATAGCCTGAGTTTGATCTCCTGGGACCCACATGGTGGAAAAGAGAATTAATCCATAAAGTTGTCCTCAGACATTCATACATGCACACACACATATGAACACACACAGAGAAGCATGGGAATTAAAAATTAAAAGAATAAGAATTGGGAAAGTGTGCCTTTACTGAACACGTTCACACATTTTCTCTTCCAGGTATTCCCTAAGCAGTACAGCATAATAATTATTTCCATGGCATTTACTTTGTGTCGGGTATTGCAAGTGATCCAGAGCTTGTTTAAAGTGTGCGGGAGGATGTGTATAATAGGTTCTAGGCAAACACTGCATCATTTTAAATAAGTACCTGCAGATTTGGGTACCCACAGCAGGGAGGAGGGTCTCCTGGAGTCTGTCCCCTGTGGCTGCTCAGCTGGAATCAGTTCTCACCTTCCACCATGTGGGTTCCAGGGATCTAATTTAGGTCGTTAGGCTTGGTGGCAAGCTCTTTTGTCTGCTGAGCCAACTTCACAGCATGACAAACAGTACTGTAGAAGCACATGCAGAAGACGGGCTGAAAGCACCAATTGCTCTTGCAGAGGCCCCAAGTTTGGTCTCCTGTGCCTACGAGATGGCTCACAGTAGTTCCAGGGAATCTAACACCCTCTTCTGGCCTCCCTCCATGGGCACCTATCTGCATACATGTGGTGCACACAAATTCATGCGGGCACACACACATGAAAATAATAATTTTTTTAAAAAAGGAAAGAGAGAAATACATGTAAAATACCATCGGAGACAAGTCTTGGAAGATGTTTCCCAGAGTAGAGGGCAGATGAGGAAGGTGGAAATCAAGATTCAAGTACAGCACACGAAGCTGATTATGCAGAAGCAAAAACCCTAGCTGCAAACGTGGGAGCATCGGAAACTCCTTTCCCTTTTGTTCCTGATTGCACCAAGTTGACTCCTTGGTTTTCATCGTTTCTAAAACCATCTCTGTACATGATGAGGATGCAGGGAGAAAGGAACCCCTACACACTGCTGACAAGGGTTTAAAGCAGTCCAGTTATTGTGGAAATCAGGGTGGAGGTTCCTCAAAGAACTGAAAGTAGAATTACCATATGATCCAGCTGTCCCACTCCTGAGGACAGTCCAAGTCAGCTGACCACGAAGATGCTTATTGACTGCATTGACTGTGACCTGTTCACAGTGGCCACATCATAGCCTCAGCCTCGGTGTCCATTGTAGGGAGCAAGTGAAGTCCCCACCAGTGAAGTTCTGAATGAACGTGTATTTGACTTGAGCTGGCCATGTCAAGGACCAGGAGCTCTGACCCATGGGAAACTGGAAAAGCTTCCCATTTCTCCCAGTCAGGCTCAGAAAGTGTTTATGAACGATTGACCCGGTGTGTGCAAAAACTAGCAACTGCAGCCTCCTGAGACTGTTCAACTCCGGTCACCTTCTACCAGGACTGGCGAGCCCCTCCCCCGTGCTGTATATAATAAGCACACTGAGGTTTCTGGTTGTTGTTTGGTGGTTAGTGCCACTCCATCAGAGTGCACACAGCTTTTCTGTACATGCGTCTGTGTGCCTGTATGTCTGTCCTTTCTTCATTCCCTCACCAGCCCTAGTCAGGTGAACAAAGCAGTCTGTCAACATACCAGTGGATAAGGAGATGTGGTATGTGTGTCCAGTGGTTTCATTTAGCAGTGAAGAGCAAAACTGTCATTTTCAGGAAAAATGTATGGAACTAGAAAATATCATGTTAAGAGAAATAAGCCAGACCTAGAAAGGCATATACCACATGCTTACTCTAGTATATAGACACCCCGCCCCCCCCCTTTTTTTTTCTTTAAGACATGAAAGTGGAAGGGGAGCTGTCTGGAAAGACATCAGTGGAGGGTGGGAAGAGGGTGACAGAACATGAACAAGGATGCTGTGTACATGTATAGACAGGTCATATGGAAATGGTATTTTGTATAATAAAAATATTTTTAAATGCAACTTTAAAAATAAGGAAGTCATCTTTCCACACTCAGCTTTTAAATGGCCTTTAAATTTAGCCATCTTTATTTGCAGGAAAAGCCAGTAGAACCTGAACATCCTACTTAGAGTTCCTTGGAAGTGGAAAACAAATCTTCCCCTCCCAGTTCGAGCCCATGATGCTCTATACCCAATGGCTACCTCAGACGGTAGCTCTGAGGAATACTGACTGAAGGTCTCCAGCCTTCTGCCCACCTACACGAACCTATTCCAGCAGATCCTTGCTGGAGCACTTGCTCTTTGCCTGCTTGGAGTGTGTGCTCGGCTACAGCTGCTTTGTGGCTGACCATCTCCAGTGATCCTGAACTTCTTTCCTCTACAGAAGGCGGCACCAAGCAGCCTTCGCTCTCCGGGAGCTCCCACTTACCGGCATGTTCATTCTTCTTTCCGGCTGACAAGAAGAAACCATTGGGAAAAATTAGCTCAGGCTCTCTTCCTGTCAATGGCCATCCGTTGCAGCTCGAAAGACCTTTCAAGAACTCAAGAAAAGGTCAAAAGAACTACAAGGAAATGCGGGAGGAAAAAATGAGTTTGTTTCCTAATCAATGCTGCTCAGTCCTTTTTCAGGGCATGGCAAGTCAGAAAGGAAAATCTTTGTGGGGCCTATTTGATGCTCATGGTCAGAGGGCACCAGCCCAGGGCCTGGAACCAGCCTTCTGTGGGTCTCTGCTGTCACAGACTATCCTCACTGTATCCTTCCCACCCCAGCACACACTGCTCCAGAACAGGGTCACAGGTCTCAGGAATGCTAACACAGTTAGTGGGCAGGCCATTTGCACAATGTGCAACCAACCACCGAGAGAGAGAGAGAGAGAGAGAGAGAGAGAGAGAGAGAGAAAGAGAAAAATGTGACCCAAATGAGGACCAATGAGGACCAATAAGCATAAGTACTGAATAAAAGTTTCTGTTTCATGATGGAACAGTAGAGACATCTCTGTATCTTTCTACATATTGATAGATTCATACCTGTACAGATTTACACACACACATGCACACGAGCGCGCACACACGCACACACACATGTATATTCAGCATTTCTTAACCAAGTACAAAAAATGCTTTTTTTCTAAAAATGTAGAGAATCGACAGGCCTGCCCAACACTGCTCAGCCCTGTAGAAGACACCCACAGGCCCAACCATCAGGCACCATTACCATAAACAAATATGTGGTGGAGAAATGGGAGAGAGAAAGGAACAGTTCACGTGCTGTGGAGAGAGACAGAACTGAAGAGGCAAAGGTGGTAAGGAACAGGCTGATAGGGGCATCATGTGTAGCCACCTGGGGCCATGATGACATCGCAGCCCAGGCTGCTGCCGAGGACCATGTCTGAGTCCATGATCTACCGTTGCCAGGGTCTGTGTTGATGTCCATGACCCAAGTTGCCACCAAAGACCACACAGACACCATACTGATCTGGGCAGCCTATGCTGCCATCCAGGGCCATGGTGATGTCCTAGCCCAGACTGCTGCTAAGGACCATGTCTGGGTCCATGGTCTTGATGCAGCTGGGGTCTGTGTGGTTGTCTGGGCCTGTGTTACCAGTCCGAGGGCCCTGCCCTTTGCTGGCCCTGGGAGAGCTAGTCCTGCCCCTCACAAGAGAGCTGTCCCCACCCCTCACCATGGTATGGGAGAGCTGGCCCCCAATGGCGATGGCATGGGCACAGAAGAGCTGGCTCTGCCCCTTGCTTGAGGAGGGTAGTCCCAGTGGAGGCCCAGACTGACCAACTCAGCTACCACCTAGGCCTACATCCAGGGCATTAAGTTGACCCACCCCAACATCCACTGGAGCTTGTGAAGAGACTGGTCCTGTGGATCTCCATGACTTGGGGCAATAGCAGGATATCCAAGAGGAGTTTCGGTGACAGTCTAGTATTGATAGTATACCAGAATCCAGAGGCTTTGAACTTGACCAACAACTCATTACGATGAACATTTGCAAGTAAAGCTGTCTGGACGAAAGGGTCTACTTCATGATACACAGCAGCTCCCAATGCCACTAAGACGAATGAAGAGGTGATAGGAGAGAAAGACGGGGGAGCAAAGTGTTTCTGTTGTTTCAATATTTTTATTTTGGAGGGAAGATGCTGCAAGGGTGAAGGGCAGATATCGAGTGGGATTGGGGTGCATGATGTGAAATTCCCAAAGAATCAATAAAAAAAATTATCTTTAAAAAATGTAAAGAATCCTTAAGCCTGGTAGCCTTATTTGAAAGAAATTATTAATTTGTATTGCACCCACTAACCATTAAATTAGAAAATACCAAATGTGTATTTATATGAACAGTAAAGGGGGTTCTGAGGAATCTTTGGAAAAGTCCTTTCTTCCTCTTAGAATACTTATAATTTAGTTAAAAAGACCAAAGTTGGCCAGGGCTTGCAGCTCAGTTGGTAGAGTGCTTGCCTGGCATGCATGAACCCCTGGGTTCCACCCCACTATTTTATAAACCAGGCATAGTGACACATGCATATAATCCCAGCTCCTGGGAGGTAGAGGCAGAAGGCTCAGAAGTTCAAGGGTACCCCAAGCTTACTAAGCACATTGGAGGCATAGATTTATAAGACCCTGTCTTGAAACAAAGCAAAGAGTAAAATATAAGCCATGACATAATGCCTTGTAAGTCACCTTGAGAACTCAACTTCTCATAATTACTTACACCTTTTCAACTTTCATACCCGAAAATTCTGTTCATTTCATCCACTCACACATTTACGTTGATACCTCTTGACCAGTTTCCATATGTCAAGCTGAGACCTTTACAAATCAACTGAGAAGTGGCCGTTTTGAACATTGCACGGTCATACTATCAGCCAACAGCTGTTTCTGCAATTACTTGAAATTTTTATTGCGTTTTGGCCCTATGATTTTATAAAAATAAGTGGAGAAATGGAAAATAAATGCGCGGAAATGAAACCCTCATGTACATAACGAAATGAAGAAAATGCTAGAAATCAGGGCCCCAATGTGGTCAAACACTTACCGGAGTTAGAAAATTAATAATAATAAAATAATAAAGCTAAGGAACTTTCATGAAATGTTATAAATAGCTTGGGAAAGATCTAAAGGCAGAGGACAGTTAGCGAGCTGGTCGTATTTTACGGCCTGTGAGACTGGAGACCTTTCCTCTTGTGTTCCTTTTTTCACACACTCATGTGAAATGGAAATGCTCAGGAAGGAGTTGCCTGTAAAATTAGTAACCTTGCAGAGGAACTGAGTTCAGTGCCCAGATCCCACCACAGGTGGCTCACAACCTCCTGTAACTCCAGGTCCAATAGACCTGATGCCGACTGGCCTCCACTGGCAGGGTGCACTGCATGGGCGTGGTGCACATACACTCATGCGGGTACACACACATACACGTAATAAAAATAAAATGAAGTACCCACAGATCCGCGAAGGAGGTAACAGGGTCCTGTGCTAGCCTCTCACTCCTGTTTTCAAGGCTCCATGTAAAGAGGGTAGGGGCTATGGTCCGGATAACTGATCCCAAACCCTGTGTATTAAGGGATGGATTTCCAGTTGGTGGCATTTCAGGGAGGAGGTGGAACCTGCAGGAAGTATGTCTAAAGGGAGGATTTATGTCATGGCCGGGAGGGGGCAGGGGTGGTTGTGGTTAGGGGGATGAAGGAGTGAGGACGTGGCACATGCCCATGAAAGGAATATTAGGACCCTTCCTTTTCTTTCTCTCCTTCACTTCCTGGTTATGAGGGAAGTAGCTTGCTCCATCCCCAACTCTCAGCCCTACCACCATGGTATGCTGTCTCACATAAGCCCATAATCAACGAGGCCAAACGTTCACCAAAACCTCCAAACAGAGAACCCAAATCAACCTTTCATTTTGAAAAGCTGCTATTTCAGGTGTTATGAATTTTCCCCCCAATAATAGAACTTGGACTAGCAATTCAAGACGGCCTCTGGGCAGCTTCCTGGTCCTCCTCTTCCCACAATTCACTCATGGCTCACTTCTCTAGCTCTACAGAAGAGTCTTGTTCCAGCCCAGCAGTTCTCAGCAAGGGACACTTTTGTCCCTAGGAGACATTTGACAATTTCTGTAGACATTCGTGTCGTGATTTAGGATGAGGTTCCTACCAGCAGCTAGTGGAGATAAGCCAAGGATAATATTAACCACCCTACCCAGGGCAGCCCACCATGTAGTGAATCACATGACCCGAAATGTCGACATCAGCAGCTCGGTTGAAGAAAACACTGGCCTTTAAACTCTACCTATAACTCAGGAATTCAACCTCTATTTTAAAATTCACAAAATCCAGGTCAGCTCTCCAAACCCCTTGGACTGTGCATTTTCCTCCTCGACTGACATGGGATGAGTGACTACATCCATGTGGATGGAAGAGCTGAATAATTCAGAAAGAGACTGAATAATCACTGTCATTTGCTGAGCACCTCCAGCAATCTAGCCAAGCCCAGTGTTCAGAGCTTCTGTGTATATTAGCACATTTTACCCTGATAAGAGCCCTAGGCTGGTCCACTGTGTTCCTCCTTTTTCAGACAAGCAGTCTCAGGCCAAGAAAGGTTAAGGGATGCAACCCAAGTCACCGGGGTCATAAGATCCAGGATAGCGGTTGAGGCAGTCTAATCAAGGGATGGAAGAGACATGGTAGATTAACAAAAAGCTAGAAAAGCAGACAAGGTTCCCACATGAGATGCAAAGGAGAGAAGATCTAGGTAGAAAGCCAGCTGGAGCAGATCCGACAGGTCAAGATGAGGATGAGGATGAGGACGGCAGCTTTTCCTTCCCGGTTCTTAAGGCTGACTCTGCTATAGAAACCACAGTCCTGGGTACTGGGCCTCCGACAGACTGCATACGGCCCTGCTAGTTAATGCCCTCACACTGTGGCTCTGTCATGACATATAAACAAGAGGCTTCTTCCCCCTGCGCACACTCCTTACGTTCTGCCAAGCCAGGCCTCCCTTTGTGCAAAAGCTGCAGAGTTGTGAAGGGGATAGAAAGCAGGGGATACGTTTAAATCTGCCTCGGCAATGTGCTGACCAGTGAGGTTTGTTTATTAAG